AAGCTTTGAGGAAAACGGGTTACAAACTAAAATAATGATTTAAAACAGAATGAAATCACCATCAAGAGCAAACATACATATACAAGGAGAAAAAGTGAGAGACAAGGTTTAAGGTTATAGTTACTTTAATTAATAACAATTCTTAGATGGAGTATGGTCAACTAATTAGTGTGGTTCATTATCAAGAAAGGTTTACAAAAGGAAAAAGTAGCTACCAATGAATACATTCTTTGGTAAAGAACTACTACTGTATAAGTACCTCCCTTTCAATTTATCAATCAGAATTCAAGTTAATGGTCTTTCATATCCTGCTTCATAATCATCTCTTTCATTTTCTATACCATTTGATTCATCTAAGTCTTCTGCTGACATTGATACTGATGACTCATAGTCTGATAGAAGAACCATGATGAACTGCTATGATTTGATGTCTTCTTCTGCAGAGTATCTTTCACTACCATTGATTTCCAAATAGCACATGTATTATCAAGCAAAATAATCAAGTTTCATTTTGAAGATCAAAGAAGTTCTTGACTGTTGCTATAATAACAATATAATGAATTCTAATTTATTTCAGTAATTGAATATGCTTTAACAGCTCTTTAAATTACCTTTAGTTCTATTTATAAGCACACAATGGTCGAAAAAGGCCACTTAAATTTTCCACTCACTTTCCTATCACAGGGGAAATTATATCCCATAATTCACTTTCAAAAACTTTTCACCTTGATACCCAGTAAGACATACATTGCGCATAAGTATGTGACCAAAAGTTTCATCAAACAAACTTTTCTGTATCATGACAGGTTCTATAATATCTCCTATTTTTTTCCACTTTTTAATAGTGTGAAAAACATACTTATAGTAGTAAGAAGGGTCAACAGCTTTCATCTTTAATGCTAAATGTAATTAATGGGTAATGGCTGCCTAGAGTGCTATGTAGTGAGACAACATCAGAATTCAGAATATTTAGTGTATAAGTGAAGTAATGACGCCAGGATATGATACTACAATTATGTGATTAAAAAGCCTTTCTTTGCACTAAATAGTGAGCTCCTTCAGGATAGAGTCTATTATTAGTAGTTTGACACAAGAGGCAGTCACATATTTAATAAGTGGCAGATCTATTTAATGTAGAGCCTACCTACTTTTTATCAGGCAGATGATTCTAGTTAACTTTCCCACAAGGGGTTTACTATCTTTTTAAAAATACTAATTTCTGGGGCCGGCCGAGTGGCGCATTGGTTAAGAATTGGCTCGGGACGTCAGCTCTGAGCAGCAGGGCCCCGGTTCAGATCCCACATGAGGGCCAGTGACGCTGTGCCCTCTACAGCTAAGATGGTGAACAACGGGCTGCCGTGAGTTGCCAGCTATGGCATAGGCTGCCAGCGTGAGCGGCCAGCAGCTTGTGTGAGTGAGCTGCGAAGAGCCGCTCTGAGCGGCCGTCCAGAGGCCAGCGACCAATCTGCCTCACCCGGGAAGAGTGCAATGATAATACCAACATGGGCCAGTGAAGCGACATCCTCCACAACTAGACTGAAGAACAAAACGACAGCAACTTGTCTGTTCCCTTTCCCCGATTCCCCAGCGCTGTTCCCCTCCCCCAATTCCCCAATAAAATCTTTAAAAAAAATACTTATTTCTGCTGCAACTTAAGAGGATAAATGGGACTTGCAGATTATTTCAGGTAGTTGGAAAAGCTAATGCAGAGGCAGTAGTAATGTGACAGAATAAAAGAAGTAATCTTCCAAATACAGGCTAGATTCATAGTTTAGTTGAACAGATCATGTAAGAAAAAATTGAAAAATTAAAGTAACAAAGAGTTCCTTTGAAAGTCAAAGATTTTTCCAACTTAAAGCTAAAGACTACTCTCTCCTATACTACAGATTCTCCATCTATAAATCACTGCTAGAATTATGTACAGTTTGATAATATGTACTTTCAATCCTCTATATGAAAGAAATATTAAGTGAAAACTACGAATCCCTAAAATGTTCATCAATTCTGCAATTAAATATAAACTTATTTTCAAATATGATATAAGTCAAGAGAGGCCAATATGTGTTACTGAAAATCGGCATTTGACTTTAAATCAACTGTTCTCAAAAAGGAAAAGAAGACATGTCATTATCACCAGGGGAGCTTTTGCAAACTACAGTGCCACTCCAGTCTCAAATTCTGATATCTTCTCAGGATGTGAGCAGGCAGACAGGCAGGGAGAGGGAGTGGTTAGGCACAAAAACGTTTATCTCAAGTGATTATGAAACAGCTGTTTCCCTCCAATCTCCCACATTTAAAAATTACTGGGCTGAATACATATACTCAAACTTATGGATCTAGAGTTTTCTAATTTCATACAAAGAAAGCACTAAGTAAAGAATTGGGAGTTCTCATTTTGTCCCTTAGCTGTCCAATCTGATACAAAGTTACTTAACTTCTTTGTATTTCAACAGGAATATAGTTATATTACTAGTATATTAAAGTTGGAAGTTCTATTGGGTTGTTGGAAAAGTCATGACGCATTTTCACAACAAAAACCAGAAAAAATACATCATGACTTTTCCGACAACCCAATTGCTCTAAGGATAAAATGAAATGTGAAGTATAAACATATCTTTAAAATGTAATGAATAAGGAATTACCGTCATTATTCAAACTTCAGCCTCATTTAGATTTGTAAAAGTATAGAGTAATTTGGATTGGTTCAGTTTGATCTTGAAGCATACAAGATAAGACCAATCACCCAGAGCCAATTAGAAATGAAAAGGAGTCCTTGAGTCTTGCCTAATCCATATCTTCCTACTCTAAAAGCTTGGCCAAATCAAATCTGGCTTGAGAATTGAGAAAATAGATTCCTATTAATGAATTCTTCTGAATATTCAACCTTACCAAAAAAAGAAATAATGGACTAATGAGACTATTAAAGTGAAATATTCAGAATTTTTAACTAAAGACTCATACTGGACACTTCCATATTAGAATATTAAAGAAAACAATAATTTTTATCAACGCGGTTAGGACTGATACTAGATTGAAATTTTTAAAAATTAAGTGGCAGACTAATAAAAATTTAAATAACCTTACCCTTAAATAAATAAATAAATAAATCCGTGCCAGCTGCTTACATTCCCCTATCCTTCTCCAATTCCCTATATAATGTACAATAGTAAGTACAATAAAACTCATGGAGCCTGGCAGGCAGTGAGTGCCAAATAAATATCTGCTAACTGAATGACTGATTCCCTTATTTCTCACATCTTTTACACTATTTTAGTGTACCTAAATGGATGCTGGCATGTTTTCTTTTAGCCTACTGAAAACTGAAATGTAAATGCTGGCTAAAAAGACAACTGAATCCTGCAAACCCTCACTTTTTTGCATTAGCTTCTACTTTATCATATGGCACTCTTTACTGAGTATGAGTGCAAACACCTTAGATCCAACCATGAGCTGCTTATTTATAAATAACAATCACAATTATAGCCCAGTTTCAGTGAAAAAAGGAATTCTGAATCTAGAATAATTCAAGACAAAAGCAAACATATGAATACACATTATTCCTGGAAGAACGAGAAACTGTAAGTCTAATCAATAACCTCCTAGCGTATTTACAGTTGACCTTTGAACAGGAGGGCTAGGGGCCATCGACCCCCACACAGTCGAACACCCGTTTTTAACTTTCAATTCTACGGCTGACCCTTTGCATGGTGCATTCAACCATGCAGATGGAAAACAGTATTTTCTATTTGAGGTTAGGAACGTGAAAATACTGTCTTTGGTCAGTGGTTGGTTGAATCCCCAGATGCGGAACTACGGATACAAGGGCCAATTGTATTTACTGAAAAATATCCACCTACAAATGGACCCACCAAGTTCAAACCTGTATTGTCCAAGGGTCAACTGTAATGACAACTAACTCAGATCATCTCCGACCCTGAACTGAATCCACTTCCGCTATAATGACAGCAGCACGCCAACTTCCTACATCACTTACCTACATTTATTATATGTAGGAAATTATACAATTTCCTGCAGGGAAAAAGCACAAAATCCTACCAGTTAGCTGGTAACTGTCACTCTGCGAAAAGCAATTCCGTTCTCACAATTCTACTATTTCGACTGGGCTTTGGGGTACCAAAATCCAATGAACATCCAGAAACACTCTCAACAAGACAATCAACTCCATCCTTCACTTAACACGGCTGACCCCGCTAATGCCTAATGTCCCCGACGTATCCTCTAAGATGCCAGGTACGGACGACGAAACGTCAAAACACCTAGCACTCCTCGCCTCACAAGTTCCAGCACCCCCGAACGTGTTACACAAGCGGAGGGGGTACATCGGACCCATGGGTGATAGTTTAGCAAATGCAAGGTGTTCAGTTGAGGAGGGAAATTTTTTGTGAAGACTTTCCTTACGGCCGATTGATAAGCGGCGTCCCCAGTGGAACAGGAAGAGATATTTACACACACACACACACACACACACACACACACACACACACACACACGCTACTTGTCCTTACAACATCCATAACCCACGTTTTAGTAAACCAGGTACCACGCTTACGATAAGCAAATTCCGGCCAACAACTGCATCCCTCGGCATCCCAGCTAGCGGGGTGTCACCCCCCTCTCCCTTGTGCAAATCTACTTCACTTTTAACAAGCGATCGGACTAACAGGACACCCAGTTCGCCAGGGAGCCAGAAAATTCAAGGCCTAACTTCCTGGCCCCACTTTCTCCTTTGATGCATAACCCTGGATTTGACTTTCCATCTTGCCCCCTCGTTCCTTAGTCCCTAAGCTCCCTTCACTTCCTCCTCACCGGTCCTGACCTCGTTGCCACCCACCCTGCCTGGGGTCCCCAACATTGCCCCCAGCTCACCCTACCCACCACCAGCTCGAATCCCTCTGCAGACTCCCGCCCCGGCACCCACCAGCCCGAAGAGCAGAAACTCAGAATTTAGCAACGGGGAGGGGGCCGCCCCTCACACCCACCAGACGAAGTCGTTGCTTTTGTCCTCATAGGAGTTGATGAGCCCGTTGCACAGAGGGGCGAGCAGAGGTCGCTTCCTGCTGCCGCTGCCGAGGCTGGAGCTGCTCCCTCCACCGCCGGCGCTGGGCCTGGGCGCGCTGAGCCGGGACAGGCCCGCGGACACCACCCCGCCGCCGCTCCCGCTGCCGCTGCCGGACACGGCGGCCGCCACCAACACAGGCCGCACCGGGCCCCCGAGGCCGCCGGAGCCCGCGGCCTGGGCTGCCCCGCCGGACACCAGCGACGACGCCGAAGCCGCCACGGAAGGGGGCGACGGGGAATTGGATAAGGACGAGGAGGCGGAAGTCACCGAGGAGGCCGCCGAGGAGCCAGGGCTGGTCCCGGCGGAGCCCGACCCGGCCTGGCGGCTCCCAGACATCGTGACTCCCTCCCCTCCGGCGGGGCGCTCGGAGGAGAGGGACCGCGACCCGCCGCCGCCTCCCCTGCCTCCGCCTCAGTGCATCCTGAGGACGCGCGCCGCGCCGGAGGTGGGGCTGAGGAACAATCAAGTTGATTTTTTGCGAGGCGACCACACAACAGCGTCCGACAGGAGGGGGCGGAGGAAACTAATAAAGCAGAGCGCAAACCACTGCCGCTCTCGAGGCCGCCGCCGCCGCCGCGGTCCCTGCAGCAGCCAACCCGGGCGCGCCGAGGGCCGGCCGCGCGCGTGCGCGAGCGGCGGAAGGGGCGGGAACGGCGGGGGATACGACTTTAGACGCGGCCCGGGCGGTTCTCAGACACGCACGGCGCGCCCTCGACGACGGCGGCGGCCTAGTAACGACAGGAGCCCTCGACGAGAGCTGTTTTCCTTCGTGACGTACCAGAGGGCAGGCCGTCTTAATGGTTGACAAGACTGCACCAAGCGGAATGAATGGTCAGGGTGGCCGAGGGATTGAGGGGAGCGCTTAAAAAGCGACCGCGCATGCGCGCCCTGAGTTACCCAGGGTCCCCGCTCCTGGCGGAGAAGAGCGGCGCAGGCGCGGAGTCGCCGGACCACGCACGCATGCGTGCGGGCGAGCCGCATTCCTGAACGTGAAGAGGGAGGGGTTGCTGTTGCCTGAGAGGCAGGCTGTGCAAACTCGTGGCGAGGGCATGACAGGTGCTTCCAATGGGGGATTGAAAGCTCTGTAGACTGGGACACACGTTATTTAACCTAGAAGCTCCGAGCAGTTCGAAAGAGCACTGGACTGAGAGTCAGGGACCCCGGGCTCTTCTGTTGTGAAGTCATTCCACAGTATTTTGAGTGCTAAATTAAGATGAAGTCAGTCAACAGTGCTTTGTAAATTGAAAACGTTGTAGCAAATGTTACCAATTTTATGGGTTCGACCACGACCTCTTGTATTTTGCAAGTTATTTACCAAATGAAGCATAACAACAATGGGAAAACAAACTACACTTGATTAGAACACACCTCAGCCAGAACCTCGGTTTATGTGGATCTGATATATTTCTAGCACAAAACAAAGAAACCTGGCACTTCATACCACCAGAAAATGTGCAATTTCTGGGAGGCTTTTTGGAACAGTAAAAAAAAATGATGACAGATTTTCGTTTGCGTTTTTGAGATTCCGAGGGATGTCAAGTAGAAACAACTGAACTGGGTGATTTTTCGGTATTCTTTCCAACACTATCATTTTATGATTCTTAAAGGGAAAGATCCCAGACTTAATTTTCCTGAGTTTTGAAGACGAGGAGCAACTAGGGCCTTCCCCTGGGAACATCTATCCACACTGAGGGGGTAGGGCCAGCAACGAGGCAGCGATTCACCTGGGCAGTGAACCATCATGAGGCTGCCATCCTCCTCCACTCTGTCTTAGTTGCTCACCCTCGTATTTCCAGCTCAGGTTTCTGCTCAGAATAATACTATAGGAATGGGTTTATCAGATTTCTAAGAACCACCCTCCTTGTGTGAACATTGCATTATCCATTGTATAATTGTTTAAATTCATTTTCAAGACCCAACTGAAATGTGAAGCCTTCCTGACTCCTTGTCAGAGATAGTTGCACTCTTATTTGTGCTCCTAGGATACTTTGTTTGCACTTATAACATTGTATTTTAGTGGTTTATGTATGATTCTCCTCCACTAGCCTATCAGCTTCAGCTTTGTATTCCCAGCAGGTAACACAATACCTGGCCTATGATAGGTGCTCATCAAATATTTCTCCACTAACACGTGAATAAAGCAGTGGATCTCATTTTTATTTTTATTATTTGCTTAAAGTATGGTTTTCCAACTAAATTGTAAGTTCCGTGAAAAACAGGGCCATATTGGTTCTCAGTGGGCATTCAATAATTTTTCTGATGAAAGAATGCATAAATTAATATAAAGAATTTGATGAATATTCATGGAACATTTGCTACCCATAGGCCTGGACTAAGCAAGGAAGAGATGAAGAAGCGTATAAAACGTTCCTATATTCAGGAAGTTTATGGAATAATTGACGAATTAGAAAAATACATTAAAAGGTAAGTAATGTTATCAAGGAGCACAGGTGAAATACTTAATGAGTAAAGCAGAAAATCACCATAGGAGCTAAAGCAAGAACAAGTGCTGAGGACCAGCCATGTTTGTGTGGGCAAATGTTAGACCTTCAGAAAGAAAAGTATGGCTTGGTTAATCAGAAAGTATAATTAAAGTCATGAACCCAGAAAATAAATAAGTAAAAGTACTTTCATCAAGTTCAGATATCTATTTGATAGGGGTAAAGAGTTTATTCAGGAAAAATTCATTTGGGGGGCAAATTGTAAAGAGCCTTGAAACCACTTTGGAAAATAGCCTACAAGCAATTGGAAACAATGAAGGCATTTATTAGGGATAAAATATATTCAGTGTCATTTTGAAGATTATGTTTTCAGCAGGTTAATCTTTCAGAAGAGGTGGGATATTTGGAGCCAAGAGACTAATCAGGAAAAAATTATAGCAGTCCAAGCATAAGTGATGAGAGTCTAGATTAGGGCGCTGACAAGAAAGTAAAAGGATAGTCTGAGAAAAAACACAAAAGAGGTAAGTTACTCTCTAAGAGAATCCTTACAATCCTTGAGGGCGTGACCCATATCTGCCTTGTTCATCACTGTCTTGGCCAGTGCTTGGTATAAAGGCCAACAAATTAAGTAAAAATGATGGAACACAAAGAGGAGCGACTCCAAAGATGACTCCAGGGATAATAGCAGGATGACAGAATTGGAGATGGCCGTTGGTTTAGCTTGGAATGTGTTGTGGAGCGCTTACTTACTTTCAAGTAAGCATATCCAGATAGCAATTGAAAATTCAGGCTAAGGCAAAGGAGAAAGTTCAGCACATGAGAGAAATAAACCCCAGGTTCCTGAGCTCTACCTCGAGAGACCCTGACTCTACAGGTCTGAGGTGGGGCCTACGAATATGCATGCTCACCAGGTGAATCTGATGCAGGTGACTAACTCTTTCAAAATACTGAGATTAATATTATAGGTAATGTAAGAAATATGCAAAATAGTCTCTTCTATTCAAAAGACAGAAAGTGATCTATGACTCCAGCTGAGAAGTCTCTGAGGAAAAAATCATCATGTGCTCAATATTACCCCTTTAGAATCCAACTTTAATAAAATCTAAATTTGCAAAAGGAAGCTGGGGGGATGTGATGCAGTGGAATTTCCCTATTACACCAGATAAATGTATAAAGACTATTCTGAAAGTACACCATCCTTATTGGTTTTTACTGGCAAAGCCTTCTGGGGAAGCAGAAGAGAAAAGAGGAAGCGTGGCAAAATATACACATGCAAACAGACAAAAAAAAGTCAGACAACTCGGGAGACGTAACAAATAGGAGAAGGGAAGAAAGCATTGGAAAAGTGAAAGTAAATGTAAACCAAAAACTGAGCCCTAACAATTAAAAGCATTCCACCATGTTGTTAAATACATGCGTCCCATGAATGATAAAAATGACAAGACAAAATCCAAAGTCTTCCACAAAACATTGCTACTGAAGTAAAATCTAATAGAGTTAAAATGGAATGGAACTACCAAGAGGATTCAACTCCCCTGACAGATTTCTACAGTGTCTTATCCAAATAGAATATTTAGGGAAATAAGGCTGCTGGTTTCATCTCCAGCTAACCCTGCCCTTTGGTAATCAATCTCCCAAAAAGAACCTCCCTAAAAAGCTGTCTTTACCTGACTCACCTGAAGGTTTTGCTACCTGTTAGCCCTGTTTGCTGTCTAACCAAATCTCTGAGTGAATAGTAGCTTCCTGTTCAGGTTTTTTTTTTTTAAATTTAATGTGTTTGCCCTATTAAAAAAAATAGGGTATGAAATAACTATGGTATTAAAAAGCTAAATTGAGAAGAAAAAAGAGAGAAAAACATTTTCTGTCTGTGTGAATGGACAAGAAAGAAATGGAAAAGTTTTTTAACCTGATAGCATAATAATGCATCTAGCAGAAAGTTTTCCATAATGTACTGGTAAAATGAAAAGCTCTGATTTGCACATTAAAACCCAAGGTAGACACCTATGGAGGACTATAATTTCTTAGAGTTATTATTTGAAGACGGTTTGTTCTCCAAAAATGTCTACCACACTGTTTTCATTGTTAGTATTGCATCATTAGCTTTTAGTCCTCTCCCAGTCTTCCTGTATAAAATTACAAGCATTTTTTAGAAAAGGCAAATTAATACCACTAATACCTTGGTAAGGTGGTCATCATATTAAAAGAAGTTCACTTCCTTTATTAAAGCACTTCTTTTGCAAGTTCCTGCTAGCAATTTTAGTCAAGGTAGTTGTAAAATATGGCCTCGGCCAATAAGAAGTATTGTAACAATGAAGGATTATAGGTGGAGCTGAGTGTATGTGAATGCAAGTTACTAAACAGGGTTAGTCAGCTTTAAAAAAAAAAAAAAAAGATTGGGAGAAACCAATACTGAGTAGAAAAACATTTACTCGTATTATACGTTGAATGTGTACATATTTATGAATATGTGGGTAGGCCTAGATCAACTTGAAGATTATAAGCCAAAACAAAATGAAGTCTAATGAATTCTACAAAAACAGAACAATTGGTGTCATCATGAGGTTGATATGAGGTAATATTAAAGAGCAGAAACACAAAAATAACCTCATATTGAAACTGAAGCAGATAACATCGTAAATCTTTTGCTCCATGGTTTTGACCACCCATGCATGTAATGTGGCATAACTAAGTGATGTGGGAAAGTGTGTATAGCTTGAATAAAAACATATTTAAAACATTACATTGGGCTGGTCGAGTGGCACATTGGTTAAGAGCTTGGGACGCCAGAGGACCCCAGTTCAGACCCCACATATGAAGGCCAGTGACACTGCCCTCTACAGCTAAGATGCTGAACAACAGCTCAACCTGGAGCTGGGCTGCCGTGAGTTGCTGGCTACGGCGTGGGCTGCAGCCCCTGCTGCAGTGGGTTGCCATGGGCTACCGTGTGTAGCCAGCAGCCAGCGTGAGCGGCCAGCAGCTGCAGTGAGCGGCCGTCCAGAAGCCAGCGACTGATCTGCCTCACCCAGGAAGAGCGCAATGATGGTGCCAACTTGGGCCAG